CTACCAGAGAGAGAGAGAGAGAGAGAGAGAGAGAGAGAGAGAGAGAGAGAGAGAGAGAGAGAGAGATGTTGAATGACAAAATTGAAATATGGGTCAAATTGTGGCCGCGATCTATTCCACAGTTGGAATGATTTTTTTTAAATTTATTGAGCGTTTAAAATTGAAATATGAGTCAAATTGCGTCCGCGATCTATTTCACAGTTGGAATGATTTTTTTTAATTTATTGAGCGTTTTTCCTGGAAAGATCACAACAAAATCTACCAATACTTCAATTTTTAGGTTTTTTCACGCATTCTTCTGAGCGAGAAAACTTACTGAATTTGGAGTACTTTTTTAGTTGGCCCACACATGGCTGAGTGGCAAAAATGGAAAATGTGTCAAATCGGCGCGACGATTATTTCGCAGTCTAAATATTTTTTTGAAAATGTTCTAATATTATTCCGGGAAAGAACACGATTCATCTGTGGATTCTCAAGATTTCAGATATTTCTGCGGGTTCGTCCAAAGGCAGAAAATCGTCAAAGTTGTATCTTGCAAAACGCCTGTTTCGTTGTGCCTGACCTCCCTGTTTTGAGAAGACGGGCCTAAACGCCTGGGCCTAAGGGCCCTTTTGCAGCTCACATGCCTTCACTTCTTTTTGAGGTCCGCTTCTACCTGAGGATCGGTCCAACACCCCCCACTTCTTTTTGGGGTCCACTTCCACCCGAGGACCGGTCCTTCCTTTTTCCAAAAGTCCCGGTTTTACGAGAGCTAGCTATAGGTAGTCCGCAATTTTGGCAAGGACCGGTTCCTCAACTTTTTTTGGCCCCTAAGAACCCACTTTGCGTCGTGGTCGCCCGCCACAAAAAATGCGACACCTTAACATAGACATGGAAGCCCACTATACCGCAGCCTTAGGGCTGCGAATAGATGGAACCCTCAGGGAATCCCCCCTTTTGCTGCGAACGAAGACGAGCGAATGGTAGCAAAAATGTGCGAAACTCTCTCGGTATTCGACATCTTCCGCCGCCTGCACCCAAACGACTGGACCTTTACATGCATAAGGGACGATGACCCGACACAATTATCCTATGTATCACCTGCGGCCGCGGCCGCAGGGTCAAACTCGGAGGGCGGCCGTGATCACGGCTGCTGCGTCTCGGGCCGTGGTTGGGTGCGGCTGCGACTTTCATGAATTGTTTTAGACTTAAAAAACATTCAAAAAAATAAACAAAAATTATGGTATTGTAGATCGTTTTGATATCTAAATTTTGCAATTTTTTATTTAATTTTCTGACTTCGTCTTCAAATTTTAAAAATTCAAAAACTAATTTTTCTAAGGCAAAAGTTTTTATTTATTTATTTTTTTAAGAAAAATTATGAAACTTATGTGTTTTTTAATTTTAAATTCAGTAAAGTTTTTGGATATGATCACAAGGCAAAAGTTGTTCAATATATTTTTTTGCATAACATAGTTTTTTTTCATAAATTATTATTATTATTTTTCATGGTCGCGGGGCCACGCATGGCCGCCTCCGGGGGGGATTCATAGCGGTTATCCAAATTGCGAATCGATCTTATCCTTCTCTCTAACGACCTAAAAGGCGCCCTGCGATGGTCGACCATCCTCCCACGCAGCCCGCACCCAGGTCTGGACCACAGGACATGTGAGATAATATTAACAATGAGGAAAAGGTCGGATCAAGGACCCAATTTTTACAAGTTCGGCACCTCCCTCATCCGTTCCGACAAATGGTTCAGCACAAGTGACAATTTTGGCGACAACAAAAACATCATTTTGACTCATACTCCACGTGCTCAACAATAGTCTCATTTTTATAACCAGGAAGTGCAAGGAATTTTTCAAGGTCAAAGCGGCCCTACGACAACAATAGGAAATGACCATTCAAGGAATTGCTAGACCTCACAACATATCACTATACCCATCTAGAGAGTGAAAGACCAGCTCCTACAGTATGCCTAGTACAAGTGGCAAGGCGTTAGGATACGAGGGAAAATGGCCAGGCTCACCGAGGAGGCCACGATGGATACTCATTTCTTCACTATGGTTACGGCCCGCCTGCGGCAGACCGTAATTGAGGCACTCTATGACCCAGACAGAGGGGAGGAAGTTATAGCGATCGACACCGCACACTGCACACTAATCACAAGAAGGTTTTTTAAACAATTATATACATTCCAAATCCCGATTCCGTGAGGGGAGGCAAGGACGAGAGAACTAGAAAACTTTTTACTACCTATGGACAAACACCTATCTCCGCAACAACGAGATCTGCTAGAGAGATCAATGACAAAGGATGAAATATGGACAACGCTTGTCCAGATGAAGGAAGAAAAAACTCCCGAAATTGACGGTTTTCCCAAAGAGTTTTGGGAAGCCATGTGGACGGATCTGAGCACGAACTTGTGGGAGTACTACCGGAAGGTATGGGAAGTCAGATAAACGAGGGAAGTAGTGGGCAAAAGAATGTTGTTGTTACTATATAAAAAAATGAGATAAGATGAACATTAGGAACTACAGACCTATCACCCTTCTTACAATAGTTTACAAAATGCTCTCTAAAACCTTGGCGAATCGTATGGAGGCAGTCCTGGAAAACATAATACACCCAACCCAGACAGGGTTCACGACTGGTAGGAACATACAGAAAAACATCCTGTTGGTAAATGAAGTGGTCAAACTAGCGCGTAGGAACCGGAAAAATGCG